TAAATACAATAGTTAAGATAATTTATTGGTAAGACATGGACAGTCTGTTTGTGTGCCGTCATTACTGTGTCAAGTCTAAAAAAGATTTTAGTGAAGGTCATCAACCCATAAATGGCTGTTAATCTCCTCTGAACAGGTCATTTAAGAGTTAAAATAATCTGTCTTCTCCAGTTGAATATTCTAAAACACTTTTAAATCTACAGGGTCATTTATATGCTAATGCAAGGTTTACATTAGAACACACCTTCCACACCGCTATATGAAGTCAGGTTTTGCAAGACAAAGGATAAGGGTAGAAATTAAAATAATAAAGTTGGTGTGAGAGAAGGAACAATGAAACAAGTCAAATTAAAAAAGAGGAAGCAGGAATAAGAGCCGGAGGAGTGGAAAGGAGAGGAGAATCTAGAGACATAAAGGAAGAAAGACAGTCCCCTGAGTGAGTGCCATAGGTAATTAAAATAGGATGGACAGAGCTGGAGTTTTGCCAAAGAGAGCTCTACCTCTCCTCAGACTTCCCTCCCAATCAACTTACTGCATGAATCCAGATTGCTGTTAGTGACAGAACCTCGGTAAATTGTGGATTCAGTTAGTTTTCGGTTCGCATATAATGGAGGTGGAGATCCAGCGGGATGATGAGCTGTTGTTTCAAAACACTGGCAATTTAAGCTACGCACCACATACATTTGTTGGTGCACCGAGACGAAAACGCACAGAAACGCGAAACCCAGACATCACACGTGCACACACACGAACACACAAACGTCTGTGGCGCTGTGCGAAGCTGCAGCAAGGGCAAACGTTCCTAACCAGAGTTTGACTGCAGTAAGCACATATACATTCACTGCACAGCTCTGAGCTGGAGGCGAGCACATGAGTATGCAGTGCACACACTCAGACACACACTTTGAGCAGAGTCGATCACATACACACCCCAGTGTATACAATGGCAAGGAAGATGCAGTCTAATTACACATCGGTGATATCTATGAATCTGACCAGCTTTTATGCCATCATTACTCTTTATTTGTCACTCAGTGGTAATGGTGCAGGGAGTACTGCGCAGGCTAGAAATCACAGCAACTGTCCCTAAGGGAAGCATCCTCACCTTACAATAGCTGGAAATCCACATTCTTTTTCTTAAAATGTCCTGCCAGAATGATCTTTTTTTATTTGTCATTTCTTGTTTGGTTTATCTGCCTCTCATGTTTCACTGACCACAACCAAAAATCTTAATTACCATTTCTACTATTCAACAAGCCAAATAAACTGTGTTTATCTCTCTGTATTATATTACCATATTTCTCATGGCCTGTTATAGTGATATAGAAAGTGGCTCAAAGACAGCTCATATTCTCGTCATGTTGCTCTTTGTGTGCTGTGATCACCAAGAGGGTAAATATAGCTCTTTTGGCAGAACCCTGCTAAGAGGATCATAGCTCACAATAGGTGGTCTATGCACAACAGCTATCAAAATGCCAGAGAACCTGCTTGTGGACTGACAAGCGTGCACATGCACAGGACGCACGCACACACAGACACAAACGCTATTGCAGGATACACACCCACACACAGACATATCACCTCCCCGGAGAGTCTTTTCTCCTTCTCTCAGGTATAATTGTGTTTCTGCTACGCTTTGCTCCTCTCCTTTCAGTTGTGACTGGGCCCCAGATGAAAACCCGTAATTAAAAGGAAAAAGTTGTGTTTGTTATGAAGACGGATCGGTGTCAGGGAAGACAGGAAGGCTAGAGAGACAGAAAGCTTCATCAGGCTACAAAAATCATCACATAAAGCTGGCAGACAAAGGGACTCCGATGCTTTTTATCTCCCAAGAGAAAATTCTTCCAAATCTCTTGGGCTAAGCTACCATAACTAAGGCCTGCTCTTGGCACAGGTGCTCACTGAAAGTGTTGGAAAACAGAAGCTGAAAATTAGAGAGGATAGACGAAGCATCCCAGAAATATATACAACCCCATTCATGCTGTGTAAAGAAGTAAAAAGTCAACTGCCTTAAGGGTGGCATTTAAGAAAAGGTTATTTGGTTATTTGCCTATCTTGTTTAAGTGTTATGCACTCTCTGGAGTGCTTTGGAAAAAAACAGGGAGAGGATGGTCATTTTCTCACTTAACAATTTCATTGTCTTATACAAAACAACAGAAAACGATGAGACCATCTTTCCCAGTGAGAGCAGCTGTGGGGCCATTTCAAACCCATTTGTCAGGTAGTTAAATGGGAGCATTCACATGAAGAGAAAAGCCACGTAAAGTACATGGACAACCACCCTCAACGTGGGACGTGAGCTTCTGCGTACCTTTAAGTGGCACACCCTTTTGCAGAGCTTGCATCGGTCAGCCTGACCCCCGAAGTCTGGGGGTGTGTGGTGAAATGTTTCTGTGGACACGGCAAATGGTGAAACTATAACACATGTTGGCGTGTCAGAGCATGTGCAGGGACCACACAGTGTGCTAAAGGATTACAGGAAAAATGCCTGAACCTCAGGGAAGAATCAACAAGATCTTGAGTCATTAAAGGCGAAGATGTACAGTCATTGTGAACTCTTGGAGGGCTTTTTTCTTTGAAAAGGTCTACAAGGTATAGTTACAGTGCACCGAGGCATCAACTAAATCCACAAGCGACAGCCACATTTTCCACCTAAGTATCATTTATCTTCTGCATGTACATTATACAGCCAAGTACGCCACAGGTAGAGACAGCTTGTGTGGTACCTTTTATCTAGTTTCTTCCTTTTTCTTAACATCCTGGTGGGAACCAGTCAGTTGGGCTCCTGAAAGGGATTCACGTCGACACAAAGAAAGTTTACAGAGAGGACTTATTATGTAAGTATGCATTATCTAAGGAGAACTCGCAGGTTGAGTGGGAAAGCTTTTTGAAGTTTGACTTTATATAAATCCTGTAAGAATGCATGTTGATATTTCCTCAAAGCACAATCTGCTTTGTGTATGTGTTTTTTTTTTTTAAATTTCAGACAAAACTAAATAAATTCAGCCATCAATTTAGATAAACAAATCATAAAAACATCAAGTTCTTTTCCAAGAAATTGCTCAATGAAGGAATTACGCAGAATGTAAAATTGCTTTGGAATAAAAAAACAACAACTTTAGAATAGATGTAAAGATGTTAGTCTAATTCGAAAACTACTGGTTTAGTCGCAGCTCACACCCACACAGAGTGAGAACCATGAGTGTTTGTTCCTGTCTGTGCACCAGGGGTAAAGAGAGGCAATTTGTCGCATCCCTCCCAGTGTATTCTTCTGGCAAAACGGAACAGTGAGGCTGTTAGATAATCCTTTGACATCTTCATATTTCATCTCACCCTTTTTGACGCACATGCAACGTCTTAAACTGTCATTCTACAGCCTTCTCCTAGGGAGCCCCAACAGTTTAATCTGCTGCTGATTTACTTTCCTAGTAGGCTGAATTACTACAACCCAATCTAATTTCTTCTTTGCCTGAGATCCGGTTTATGTATTCGCCTATGCGATTGAATGGGGTTCCGTATGATCAGCAGGGCTCATTAAATGTCCTTGTGGACATTTGTACCTGCATGCTGCTCTACCAGCCTAGTGGTTCCAACATTATTTGAGATGTCATGTTCTGAGTTCCCAAAGCTTTGCCTTTGTTGGCTGTTTTCTGTCTGTGAATAAAGATTGAATCTGGCATTTGTTTACGTTTACGACGAGCTGTGGGTGATAGAGTGGTTGGGTAGAGACGTATATTTCGGGTGTTAGTCAGACTTCCAGAGGCGGGCTGATGGAAACAGTGGCTGCACCTGTTGTTCCCCGCAGTTGGCAGGGTGAGCACCTGCTCACACGGCTGCTGTGTGGCCGACTGTGTGGGCAACAGGGAAACCATTCACACCCGCTCAGACCGCTGTCTGCGGCCCCTCGGCACTGCCCATTCCCTCAGTGCCCGCCGCACCATCATTTCTCTTTCTGTCTTTTCACATTCTCCCCGTGTAGCCTAAATGCCAGATTGATATCTTCCACGCTTTATCCAGTGTATACCCGAGTATGTCAATCTGTGTTTTGGTCTCTCCCTTTCTCCTTTCATTTTCTTTCTCCAGCCTTCTCTTTTCGCCTTTTCAATTCACACAGTGACACAAACATAAAGCGCAGCAGCTGGGAGCTGTTATGGACCGTCTGTGGAACTTGATAGCATTTAGTCTGAAAGACAAAGTTGTAAACACTGAATTACATATTGTCCAACTACGAAATCCCCTCAGTGAGTGAGATCATTTAACTTAGGCCTAGAGGCTGTGATTGTGTCTGTGGTTATGAGCAATTAAGGTGCCAAGTTTTTGTAATTGCTCACAAGACATTTTGGACAAAAGATTGTCACTCAAGCTTTATAGGAACTTTTCTTTTTTAGTTTCTCCTGGGCATTCATGACACCTTTACCCGATCCAGAGCACGAGTAATGATGTAATCAATTGACTTTTTGGCTTCTAAATCATCAAATGTGACCTTTTGTTGTTGTTAACTGAAAACCCCAGGCATACATTTTATAAGACGTCTTCAACTGACGCAGGAGAACAATAAAACACAGCACTTCAAGGTAATAAAATTCATTTCCATAACGACCTGTGATCCAAATAAGATTGACAACCAGGCTTTGAGATTACGTCTGTAATCAGTTTGACAATGTGTGGGCTGTTGTGTTAAAAAAACAACAACCCTGAAATGATAATCTTAAAAAGACTTAATGCAACACGTGAAAGAACAATGATGTGCAACAAAGACCCACACACACACAAGATATGCAAATGCAAATAAAACCTCAAACTCGCAGCAGACACAAAGAACATCTTATGCTCACAAAGGTCCAGACGGTGCCAAACATGCATCTATCGGCTAAGCCCAGAAGTAAAAGATGCAGCACCGCGTTTGGTGTCACTAATAAAATTGCGCACATTCACCTGATCACCTCATCCGCCCCTTATGTCTCCCCCCTAACGCACAACCGCCGTTTGGCAACACTCACCGCACCAGATGGTCAGGTATTGGAAGCCGAAAGCAGGTGCCAGAACCCAGCTTTTCACCTCCCTGTAGAGAAAGGGGTGACGGATACCACGCCTCACAGTATCCAAAGCCTCGCTGGAATAAAACGTTCCTCAGCCGCACCTCACCTGTCTCTTCTCTCTGCGATTCCGGCGCATCGCCGAGGTATCACCGTTTATCGCGTCCAATACGCCCAGTCGACTACAGAAAGTCCCCCCCCACACACACCCTTTTCTTTGGGGGGGAAAAAGAAAAAGTCCGTATCCTAAATGGGTAAACTGCAACCAACTGAGATTGTCTGTGATCCAGATCCAGTTTCCTTTCTTGCGGCCGGTCTCATATCATTGGAAAAAATCCCAAATCCTGCAATTGCGGGCAGTCTTCTGTCAAGGGTGGGTGGGGGGGTGGGGGGGGCGAGCAATTTTTCTGTTCGAGCTATGGCTGTAAAATCACAACTCAGCACAATGTTATCCCCTTTTTAAATTTACAGTGTCGAGGTGAAATGTCCAACGCAGAGCAGGCACAGTGACAACAGGGGCCCATAACTCACACCCCCCCGAAACACAGACCTGCAGTGGATCTGTGATGAATGGAGGACCCCCTCTCTCTCGCTCTCTCTTCCTCTCTCTTCCTCCCTCTCTCGCCCAGTCTCTCTCCATCGCGCGCTCATTTCGGTCCAGCCATTATTGAATTAGGCATATAATTATCTTTGACAAAGTGAGGTTAAGGCAAAGCGGTGCGAGAATGATGATGACGATAATTACATAAACGAAACTGTAACAATGAACAGGCAAAATTGTGTAAAAGTAACCAAACCTGCCAACAAAAAGGAACCAGGTTGTATTACCAACACAATGCTGATGGAATATTTAGTCAAATACAGCTCATGAATAATATTCATTGTTCAATACGACATGTTGATTCACTTGGTAGTAGTGTAATCTCACATTATGTTATTCATTTAATTACCACAGACATATATCATATGATTTTATAAGTTTCTTGGTGCCTTTATGCGTCAACATGTGCGCTCTGAATCACTAAATGCATGCTAAATGAAAAAGATCTACAAAGCACTACAAAGATAATGCAAATGCCCAATTTCTAAGAGTAGGACAAAATAGAAAATAAAAAGGTTCACAGTTAGGGTTAGAAATATCAACACATTTTTCAAAAATGTGACACATCAAAACATAATAACACTTCAGAAGATGCAACAACAGTACACAGAACAATTCAAAGAACCAGGCAAGCCACATCGGGAACAGCAAAAAGCCCACAGCTGAAGTGAAAATGTGCTTTTGTAAAAGTATTTTGCCATTGGTTATTTCAAAAGGTAATTTTTCTGAAAATCTAGTGAGTTTTCAAGACAGTATTGTGTTCTGCTCCTCAGGGCTATCACACAACAATCCCCCTGATTGTCTCTCAACATACTCTTAAGAAAAAGTATATGTATGCACACACATACATGTCTGTATCAATAAAAAGAGAGTCAGTCAGGCTGGCAAAAACAGTCCTGCTGACGTTCATGTGGAACCCTCAGTTCCACATAAACCAGACTGCAGAGCAGTGAGTACTGGGCTGATGACCAGTACAAGTACAAAGCATGCCACTGATCTTTATGACGTCTGAAAGCTTGGGGGCAGGAAAACAGATGACTTTGGAGGTGGTGAACAAAGATGAGCTGTGACAGTTAAACTATTATCTTTCCCTACAGATTTGATAAAACAAAAAAAAAAAATCACCAATGATGTTTAAATACTAGGTTAACCAAGACATTAAATTAACAATCTTACCTTTCAGAATAGAATGAAAAGCATTTCTGATGCATTGATTACTACTTTCGGGGATACAAGCTTCACACATTTGCTTTTAAAGTCAAGACCATTATGTGTATAAACCTTTATTCGTTAAAAAATATTCTAAAAATGGTTTGCCTGTAAAGATCAAAAGACCTTAAAAGTTAATTTACTGTGGGCATTCGCCACCATAACTCATTTTGTTTTTTAGTTATAATTAGGTAATCAACATAAATGTCTTAGAAAGGTTTTGTGCCATAACATACCATCAGATGAATTCAACTGTTATTTTGTCAATCAAAGTCTGCTGTGGGGATGGATTTTTATTTTATCAAAAGATATTCCATCATTTTGTCTTGTGACAATTATGTATTTGTCTTACACATAAGTCAGAAACCACCAATGATGTGTAACAAGATCTTTTTTTTCCCTGACGGCCATATGATATACCCCACATTCATCCTTTTCAAACCAACCAGCAACTTGTGCTTTATAGACTGGGGCCTTGTCACCCTGGAAGAAACCACACCAGTCAGGATATAAATTATTCATAACAGAATAATGACATTTCATTTATTTATTTATTTATTTATTTATTTATTTATTTATTTATTTATT